TAAACCCTAAACCCTAAGCCCGACCAAGCAACGAACTCCAAGGATGATCTCGCCGAGGATTGGCGTGGGGTTTAGTTTGGTTTCATGTCGCGGCTTCGTTAATATAGGGTTTAGGGTTTAGGGTTTAGGGTTTAGGGTTTAGGGTTTAGGGTTTAGAGGCCTAAATAATTACCCATATTATCTTGGCATTCTTTTGGTTGGCTCTTAGGACTTTACCTTTTTGGGTTTCTATATAAACTATAATATCCAGGCTAAAAGTTTAACTTTTAGGAGGGGTTCAGAAGTAAGCCAAGTTATTGTTAGAGTTCCTTATTAAAAAGGTACTATAAAGGAGCCCAAAGCCTATTCTATATTTTTAAGGCCCCTACATTCGTCATCCCAGGCTGCAAAAGAATGTTTCCAGGAAGAACATGCCATGTTCGCCCTTGTATAGTTACACTAACCCTAAACCCTAAGCTTCGAACTAATTCAGGCCCCTCCACTCAGATTCCAGCTGTAGTGTTGCGGACCGAGGTGGCTGGCTCTACGAGTTTGTGCATCGTCCCAGGCTACCAGTTCAAGGTGGGGTCCGCAGGGCCTTGTGGGGGTCTCTTGGGGGCTTATAGAAGGGTATCTATGAAAGCTTGTTCATAAGGGCCCAATACATGTAAGCCCTAAACCCTAAATAGATATAGAGGTCTCTCCAACTGGTGGTTCCCAATGGGGGGTTTAGGGCTTGATTAGGGTAACTTGAGCCATTTATGTTAAGGGTCCTGTTATTTTTACCAAGATTGGGCTGAGGATTTACATCAAGCACCGGAAATTCTGTAATTTTCGGATTCCCTCGTTGCGAAATCTTTCTTACCTTTAACAGGTTCATGTAGGGCTTGGGAAAAAGCCCCTATTATAGAACCCCCTGTAACACTTGAAAGATCACTCGTTATAGAACGATTTAGGGGAATTTAGGGGAGTGCAGGGATTGGTTTTGTTAATAGCATGCTTCAATGGGGTTTAGGGTTGAGTTTTGTTAGGTTCGTTTTTTTTTTTTTTTTTTTT